TATATGTATGTATAATATGTATGTATATAAATATAAATATTTCAATTAAAAGGTGCAATTATAATTTATAAATTCATGAATCATTCATACATAAAACAAATATAGAGGTTAATGATTTAAATGGCGAGAATACATCATCGCAAACAATATAAATAAGATACACCAACTCCGAACCTGTATATGAATGATATGATCCCTGTTTATAAATTCCAGTTGCATAAGGACTTTTTAATTTTTTACAAGCTTTCGTCTGTTCCTACAGACATCATCAGGTATGGAAGTAGATAAATATATATATATATATATATTATAAATTAATTGATTTAAAATATGGTTATTTTCGCTACACAGTTCCAACCATGTTTCAAAAATATTTATAAGAACACCGGATTTTATATCTTACTGTTCTTTCTTTTTTTATCTTTTATATTATATATATATATATATATATATATATATATATATATATATATATATATATATAAATCATAATTAATTCATCGTGTCTAGAAGAATCCTCAACAGAATGCAGAAAGCACTGGACGGCCGTTTCGTCCTATTTTGGGGACTCATCAGCAGTGTGCATCCACTACCTGAATCGAAACTGGACCATTACAATATGACGCAAGCGTCATACCCATGGGGACACAGTCCCTTGGTATAAGTAGACTCGGATGCATATGGTAGTGATAATATTAACATTATCTGTTTCCTTATAAGGAAATGTTCAGTATTCAATGATCGAGCAGCGGGTGCTGCTGTTGGTTGAAATTTATAAAATCTTTCCTCCATGAAAACTATTTTTCAGGAAAATCGTTTTTTCTGGTTCACTTTTATCTCTCTTTCCAGGGCTTCTTGTGGGCTTCTTAATCATGCCATTATGTTCTCTTCAAGTTACATGAGCAATCCATTTTAGTTATTGCCGCTGTTGGTAGTCCTCAAGTGATGTGCTTTCTGTTATTTTTCTATAGTTCTTTGTTGGTGGTTATGTGGCGCCAGTCAAAGAGGTTCGAAAAAGGATGTTTCTCGCTGAGACCTACTTGCTTGATTCAATTGAAGCCATTTTAACCATCGGTCTGAGAAAGCGTCCGTATACAACTGACAGTTTAGATATTTTTGAACGACAGTCTCGACCTGATGAGTTTATTTAACTCTGTGTTAGTCACCCCGGATTTCCGAAAATAGATAGCCCCCTGGGGTGTTTTCACACCCCAATACAAAAATGCTTATACTGTTACAATTATGTAAAATATTGTCGTACTACTGAAAAAATAACATAACAGGCAATCTCCGTTACGATAAACATTATATCAAAACTTGAACTGAAGATATAATTATTCATTGAAATGAAAATGTTAATAATTTTTTTGCATAGACATATGTTGTAAATTGTAGGTGAAAACATTATACAGTAAAACAGAAAAAAATATTAATCGAAAATAGCCATAATTTATTTCCATGAATTGAAAGATATTACTTTAGCTAAACTCATAATTACAAGAGTGAAATATGTGCGAGATGTCTGGCTTTTCAGTTCTAAGAACTGGATTCCTGTGCCGTCATACGTCGTAAACGATGAGAGAGTCCAGTATATATATAAAGGGTGTTTCATTCAGACGGATCAAAGTCAGTAGTAAATAAATCAGTGTTATTAGTGAAAATTTATTTATTTCTCTGTTGAATCATGTTATTTAAGTCATGGCAATTATGTGTAAAAAATAATATCGTCCAAATGTCCGCCCAAGATTTTTAGGCGAAATGTAATTTAGTTTAGAAGAATGAAAAAATATGAAAAATAAGCGAAATATTCTTCAAGTTGATCGAAAAACATTTGTCTAAAAATCGAAATGTCTTAAAAAGTATTTATGGTAATAGTAGTAAGTTACAGCTGAACGGAAAATATGGAAAAATAACAAAACAAAAAAAAACATACATGAACAAAATTAATTGACAATAAACAATAGATTAGATTACGTCATGTAATAAGGTCCTTCAGAAAGTACAAATTTAAAATAAATTGACGTCAAAAACTTAACTTTATATGCAATTATTTTACGCAATATATGATATCTTTTTAAAAATTCAGTTGAACTTACATCCGCGAAACTTGAAGTCGGGGAAAGAAAATTTTGACCTTCTTATTTCATTTGTTTTGAGAGTCAAGCAGCTCAGTTCTAAGATCCAATAGCCAACCTACTTGTGCATCTCATTTGATTATAGTGATGAAAGCTTGTGCAGAACGAAACGCACCTTTTCGAATGGCTTAATACAAAGAACTGGTGCACAGTATACTACAAGGTTTTCAAAGGACACTGCACTGGTTTTTTAATTCAGAATTGTCCTTCTCCTAGACCGTTCGCCAACCAAGGCTATATAACCCAGTCTGTCCTGCTTTTTACCATTAGCTATATATATATATATATATATATATATATATATATGTGAAAAGTGTATATAAATATAAATAAATATATATATGTATAATTATTTATATATTATATGCGCAGTACTTATTAGAAAGCGCTCAATGTCAGAGATAGAGCTAACACACACACACACACACACACACACACACACACACACACACATATATATATATATATATATATATATATATATATATATATATGTATTTTTCAAATGTCAAGATCTCAAGCGGATTTCCCAGGAGCATATATATTGTGATCCACAGACAGTTTCGCTGTATGACGGCTCTTCAGTGTTATATATATATATATATATATATATATATATATATATATATATATGTGTGTGTGTGTGTGTGTGTGTGTGTGTGTGTATAATATACAAAAATGTAAACATGAAAACGTACCTTCGTTAGTCAGGTGGGCTGATAGGACACCGCAAAGGGGGCAAAGCGATGTCTACCCCCCACCCCCGACGTCGAGCTGCAACTGCGCTACACCGCGTGCTACACACTCTCACCACGTGAGGAGAGTAGTGGGATGGAGCAAATGAAATAAGTTGCCAACTAATAAGCAAGAGTGCTTTAAACATTTTGGCATAACAAAACGCCCCGTGTGACTAACATGGTGTTAAGTATGTGACTTAGTGTTTCATAGGTATAGTCTTGCCCTACGTTTATTAGTACTTATCTAACATATAAAAATAATCGTGTTAGTACGCATACCTGTATTGTTATTCCATCTGTCTATATTGAAAGCCCACTTAATAAGTACGAGGGGAAATGTGAAGAGAGCAAGGGTAGAAAGATTGGGTTGTGTTACTCTTGTAAGTTGGGTTTGCTTTGAAAACAATCATTTGGTAGTTAGACTTTTCAACCGTAGATGGCGTGATCGAATCAATATGAACGATCCTTTCCTTAGCTGAATAGTACGTGCTTCGCCAGGACTACATACAGTTTTGAATTCACAGTTTTCCTTCTCCTAGACCGGTTGCCACCCAAGACTTTATAACCCAGTTTGTGCTACTATTTACCCATAGCCGGTGTAGGGAGATGAGTTGGTTTCATACCTTTCCTAAGGGCATTAGCACGTAAGTGAATGTAATGGACTCAACTGGTATTCGAACTCGGCTCTCTGATTCTTCATCCCGAGCCGTTATCCGTGCCTCCATAGGATATTACCTGGCCTCAGATATTAATGGAGAAAAATTAACTATTTCACCTACTAGGCATAATTATTTATTAGTTCACTGTAACCATTCTCTCTGAAGAAAGTTTATTTGTATTGTATGAATTTATATACTATTGCGTAGCTATAAAGTAAACATTTTCTTTTGTACAAGAAACTTCTCCAGAGACTACTTCACGATCCAGAACCCGTTCACAAAATGGCGGTACAATCGAGCTAATGTTAAAATATAGGATGGCTTCCTTCGAAGTTACTCAAAGATTTGGGTCTCTATTAGAAACACAAACCCATAAAATATTTACATCCATAATGAAGGGGCAAATAATTCAGGAAAGAAGCTAGAGCTTTGATACCCTGAATATACATATCTCATCTACTCAGAAATCTAAGCAGCAGAACTCTGTGAGTGAGAAATATCGTACCGGTCTGAAACCTTAGGTACCGAGACAAATTCGCTCATATATGAAGACTAATAGACACATTGGGAGAAGACTGGGATTAGATAAGTTGATCGGATGTGAATCAGCATCCCATACTCCCATTGTATTTAATGTTAACGTAGGAATAAAATTACATAAATGGGAGCTAGCATTTACAAGTATCTATTTGTGAGGAAAGAAAAGAAGAAAAGAAAAAAGTAAAGAAAAGTGATAAATATATTAGGTTGGTGCAAAAATAATGACGTAAGAATGTCGTTTTGTGACGTTAAAAATAACGTCACAAAACGACATTATTACGTCATTATTTTTGCACCAACCTAATATAAAGTTTTAACTTTGCTAAACTTTCCTGGCGCTCTAATGAAGTGAGAGAAACTCTTTGTAATATTTTTTTTCTTTTTCATATCCAAGGAAATCTAACCAACTTGGAATAGAAACAAGAGAAAACAAGAACGAACCGCGAATTTCTTATGGTAGATCAGATTAACTTGGCATTGGCACCGTGTTGACTATAAAAAACAATTATAAATTCCTTCATTTAGAACCTCCACCATATCAACTAAGGTCATAATATTTTACTTAAATGACACCATATATACTGATTATAAATAATCATTGGCTACAGTAAATAATTAAAACTCTACAACCGTGGAACATTTTCATCGTCGATTATGTGAAAACTTCTAAGCAAATATTTAACGAAATATCCGTCGGTTCATTGTAGCTCTCGACTAGTTTGATTGCATTGTATATTTGAATCAATCTTTTGGCTTTCGAGAAGGAGCTTCGACTAGAGGAACTTCCTTATGGCTTCAACCTTTTTAGGTACAAACTGGTCCTCTGTTCGGCGGTAGTGCATTTCATTCTATCGCGTTAGATGTTGTTATAAAGTATCCACTTTTCATCGCCTGTCACAATTTTTATTAAATACAGAACGTTAAAATACAGTATATAGATAGATAGATGACAAACAAGTATAGATAGATAGATAGATAGATAGATAGATAGATAGATAGATAATGAACAAGTATAGCTAGCTAGCTAGATAGATATTGAATAGACTTAGATAGATAGATTGATAGATAGATAGACAAATAGATAGATAGATAGATAGATAATGAACACGTATAGCTAGCTAGCTAGCTAGATATTGAATAGACTTAGATAGATAGATAGATAGATAGATAGATAATGAGGCTACAATTATTTTATATTCATTAATATTCTTGGCAAAAGAATTCATTTTCTTTACTCTGTCGCCCGTATATTGAGACAAATCGATATCAGCAATGGCAAGATATAATGTTTTCATTCTATTGCGTTAGATGTTGTTATAAAGTATCCACTTTTCATCGCCTGTCACAATTTGTGTTAAATGCAGAACGTTAAAATACAGCCTATATAGATAGATAGATGACAAACAAATATAGATAGATAGATAGATAGATAGATAGATAGATAGATAGATAGATAGATAGATAATGAGGCTACAATTATTTTATATTCATTAATATCCTTGGTAAAAGAATAATTCATTTTCTTTACTCTGCCTCGTCGTATATAGAGACAAATCGATATCAGCAATGGCAAGATACAATGATTGATAGTTAAAAATACTGTGGAAGTCAGTCTCTATTTCATCTGCCCAGACTGTAGCGGTTTGACAACTGTTTTCTCCATTTTCACCCTTGTCAGTGTCCGATCTTAAATAAATAAGTAAATAATAATTATATTTAAATTGATGCATGCAATTGATTATATTCCAGTCGCCACTCCAATGATTTGACATTGTGGAACTGTTCATCTCCTGCTGGGAATTAATTACGTTTTTCAATACCATTTTTTGAAAAACATATTTTCTGAGTTCAGTACCCGTTGAGTTCGTCTGCTTCAAATATACCGGGAAAACATTACATTTGTCCGCAGTGGAATAATAATAACAACCTCTTGTTTTGTAATTTAAATCTAGCGAGAGCAAATGTCTATTCAGATGTAATAGACCTCGCAATACTGAAATACTATATTGACATCAATATTAATTTTTGACTTGTTTTTCTCCTAACTTTTTATTTGGCTTTCCGATTTGTGAAGTCAAGATAGCAACAAGGAAAGCTCGCCAGAACACATACCGCGAAAATATTTATAGAAGAGGCAAAAGGATGTTCTGTCATGGCGATGGGAAAGTGAAGTCGAGATGCCAAGGTCAGAACCGATAATGTTACAGATTCTTTGGATATTATCAAGAATCTCTAGATATAAAACAGAAGCACTAGACTAGATGTTGTATGAATATTTAATGCACTGTCGAATGGTAGGCTTATAAATGGGAAAAAATTGACACAGTGAACCAACCTCCCTAGCAGCAGACCTATGATTTTTATTGCAATATTTTGTTAAAGCTAAGCTTAAATGTTTTAGCTGTCTATTTTATTTATGCTGTTAAGCTGAAATATTTTAAGATCAATAGCAGAGCACTTGTGAATAGAGGAACATGCAAAATTCTAAAAGGAAAATGCTTACTTAATAGTCGTAAAATATATGTGAAAATGACAAAAGCCTTGAAATAATAAGACACCGAACGTGGGTGAAAGGATTATTATTAATAATAATCAATAATATTTGTGCTTTAAATGCTAATTCGACTTTTGTGGCTTTGGGAAAATGTAGATAGACATAATATCTGAAACATACAATCGTTCAAGTATCCGATAATTAATACATAACATTTGTAAATTGAAAATGTTCTCCGTGACTGGAACAACTTTGTTTTTTAAAAAAAATGCTTTAAAAATTTGTACAGATTTAAGAATTTTTTTTTATCTTAAAGTGTTAGAGCAAAGGACAGGAAGTTTTGGAGAGTCGTCATCGCGTACATCTTGAGGACACAGAGAAGAAGTAAGATAGGATTTTAAATGATTATTTTCGCAATAAAATATTTTTTTTTTCATGTGCTGTGTGCCATCCGAATGTGCGAGATCATAGCACTTCACACTTTTCTTTGTGGCTCTAAGCAACGTTTGTCTCCTTACCCCCCTCATTCCAGTCTCTACTCTGCAATCCATTTAAATAAAATCATTAGGCAGGATACTCGATGTTTCCCTTTACCTTTCTTACCTTTCTTATATCCTATAAGTGTCAAATTCTCCAAACCTACCTTCCTCAAAATTTTCAACTTTCTGACTGTAAGTATAATTGTCATTTTCTTTCCTGTTTTCCTTAAAACTTCCCACGGTATTCTCAGCTTCCTTCTGTAGAACCACATCGCTGTTGCTTCAAGTCCCATCTTCATCCGTGATGAAATTGTCCAGAGTTCACTCCCATGTGACGAAATTTATCTGTGGTTTGATACTTTGCTTAATTTCTGAAAGGCCTGTAGTAGGATTAGGTAGTAGTAACACCATATGGAAATATACACTTCACTGTTCACTATGAGAGCGCCAGAAAAGAACCCTTCTTTATTACACATATTTCCTTTCCTTCCTTCGATTGTTCTTATCCTCAGTAACTGACAGAACCCGGACATAGCTTATGTGGGTCAGTGAATGTCATAAAAAAAATCAACCAATGACAACACGTTCTGCCACAAATCAAACAGAAAACACAGATGTGTCAGGCACAATAAAAAGAAGAAAAAAACCATGTGCGCAGCAGAAGAAACAGGAAGAGAAGAAGTGGGAAATTGGTTCGATGTAGCAGTTTGAGATGCAAGGGTTGGACATTCATCGGCAGTGAGTTTGACCTGATGTACAACTCCAGAAGAAAAAGAAGAAAGGATGAATTCAACAAATTAATTTCTGTCAGCCCAAAACACAACGGCCCTGTATGAACTCACAAATCACAAAAAGGACTTAGATGATAGTCACCCACTTTAACGACTGTAACCAAATGGAGTCAACAATAAAATGGTACAAGAGACAGTAAATTTGGCCTTTATTTATGTATTAGCCCAACCTTCATCTCTATATACCAGAGGCTTATTTTGCTATTCCAATATAGCTTCGGATCTTGGCGTCACATTTTATTTTATCTGTTATTATAACTACCCAGATATATTTAAATACGCAGATTTCTGCACCTGCTTGATTTTAGTGTCTCTAAACGTAGCCCACACCTTAGGCTGTTCTTTTTGTTGGTGGCCATGTTTTCTGTCTTTTTAATATTGATAGTCAATCGTTTCTTACCGATAATTTTTACTCTCTTGTCTAATGGGTGCCTGCGGTTTTTGTGTGTCTGCTCTCAACACGTTAGCATTTGTGTATTTTCCGTTGTTAAATTCCTATCTGTCAAGCCAGAAATAAATTAGAAATGTTTTGTGATGTCAGCGAACACTCGTTGCTACTTTTGTAATGCTCGTTTTAGTAGAGACTTTGTAATCACAGATACAACTATAGTAACGCCGTTGAACAATACTGGTGTCAGACGCCTTCGAATAGCACTCGCAATAATAGTACTTGCTTGATAATACTCGCTCGGAAAGTAATCTTCAAATAGTGATTCGAATTGAGAAATAGTATAGTGAATAGTATAGAGATAGAGGATAGTGTAGAAAGAGTGATCCGTATAGTAATAGAGGATAGAATAGAAATGACGATCCGTATAGTATTAGGTTGGTGCAAAAATAATGACGTAAGAATGTCGTTTTTTGACGTATTTTTTAACGTCAAAAACGACATTCTTACGTCATTATTTTTGCACCAACCTAATAATAGAGGATAGAGTGGAAGAGTGATCGTTTAGACGCCACGATAATTCCCATATATGCGTTTCCTCTATGGTCACGTGATCTACTTAATATCAATAATGGGATCGCCTGCGTTTGCTCACTGGTGATCTATGTTCAAACTCAAGTGTCGGCAGCGGCACTTTATTCCTATATAACAAAATGCCATTTACTGTTCTCATAGAAATGCCTCGTTATATAGGTTGAATTACTCCGGCGAGAAGAAGTGTCCTTGTCTTATTTCTCTTTCTGTTGTTGTATACTTGCTCAACTCGTGTTCAGTCCGAAATCCATTTAGTAAATTGTCTAAAAATTATACCCGCATACTGAGAATAGAATTTGATACACTATTTACATTATTCGGACTATTGTCCGAATCTTTGTCGCCATCTTTATTTTTGACCGTTCTACGCTCCGGCATTGTTCAGCTGGTCAAGATGTTGAACTGGGGTAGACTATTCTAGTTCCGCGTGCCATGTTTTTAATGGATGTCAGTTATCAGTTATCTCATGTTAACTCCCCTCTCCAAGTTCTCCACTGCCTTAACCGGGTATTGAACTCAATTTGGATCTTGTCACTGGTTCTAACCAATGCCTTTATCCACTGCGCCATGTGTCCTTGAGGACATCTGTGTATGAATTTCTGGGTATTATAAACCAATGTCTTCAGCAATCATTTTTTACCAGTGCTCATATTGCAATTTTTGCTGATATCATTACGTGTTTTTACCAGAGCTCATATTGCAATTTTTGTTGTTATCGCTTTTCTCTGGCACTCCTTATTACTGGTTCTTATGTTATATTCATTTCTATGGTTGGTCGGCTGAAGAAGGCCGGAGCGTACAACGGCTGAAACGTTGTAATAAATATGGCGACAAATATGAGGACACTAGTCCGAATAATGTAAATAGTGTACGTAATACCTCATCTCAGAACTATAAAGATAAAATTTCATGTTAATATAATCATAGGAAAGATGGCATTGTGCTAATCTTCCAGACAGAGGAGACGTTTATCGGAAAAATATTAGTCTAAAAATCAATGTTTCTTGGCCATGTAAAAAGGGCTTGGGGAATTTGCCCCTCACAAGGCAGATGGATTGCAAGAGAAACAAATGAAAGCAGCAGGCCATCAACTGGCCAAGGTTGTGTGAATGGATGTTAAAACAGGGTAGCAGCAAAGTGACAAACGTTGATAAAACTACAAAGGATAGGAGGCTGTGGAGAACAGTGATCGTTCATGTCCTGAAATGACACGGTACGTAGTAGTAGAAGAAGATATTTTAAAAGGAAATTATTTTAGGCTGGTTGAAAAAATAGTTTTCGTGCTAATTATAAGTCTTGACCATATATTACTCTGCCACAAGGCCAACTATAAGGGAGTGAAGCAGGAAGATTATGTTGCGCCAGATTTTCATGAACAACAGATTTCAAATAGATATAATTTTAGGCTGACTGAAAAATTATTTTAATCTACTAATCATATGAATTCTGTTTTGATTAGTTTGGCACAAGGCCAAATATAGGGAAGGTTTTAGAACAAGGGTGTGTTAATTTTCTAAGAGGGTAACGTTAGCATAACGGAGTTGAAAACTTGTATTCGAAATGCTTGTTTTGAGGTAACATGGTCACGTGATCTACCGACCTCCCGTAATTTTGCAGTACATAATAACAAACAAGGTCTCTTTATCGAGTTTAACAATTTAAAACAATTGACGCAGCTTCCGCTGTTTGGGCTTCCTGTTTTGTATTCCACTATTTGGTAAACTTACACTTCCGGTTTCAATCGCTATTAAGTCCTTTTCCTTTGAGGTGAACATCGTTTCTTGCACCACCATCAGCCGTCACGTAGGCAGTTTCTGGTTAGATACTGCTTCGAAAATATTTGGTTTATGCGTAAAAAGACTGGCGCTGTTTAAAGTAAAAAAAAATGCATATAGATTTTCAGTGGAGACAGATATTCCCTATAGGAGACAGGTGAAACACAATCTCCATACCCAGTATATTTTGCCTTGGGCTACACTAAATGAAATCTCTCTCTCTCTCTCTCTCTCTATATATATATATATATATATATATATATATATATATATATATATATATGCAGGCTGGGATTCATATTCTGGCGGAAAGGAGACTGGGTTCATTGCCCGGCGACTGAGACGTCTCAAAAGCCGAGACAATTTTTTGCGTGGTATGACCTTAAACCCAATTTATACCTCAACATTGTGTGACATACAATTGTGACATAGGCACCCTGATATATATATATATTAACTGATTCAAAATATGGTTTCTTCGCTACACAGTAATAACCACGTTTCAAAAGCTGAAGCTAAAAACTTCAAATTTAATTATATAATTAAATTAAAAGCATTAGTTCTGTTTCATATTCCAGCGAATTTTGGAATAACTTATTTTTAAATTTCCTGAGTTTTAAACATATTATAAATTCATAATTTCCTGTTTCCAAGGATACAGAGAAATCCAATCATTCAGACAGACAGGGCCGGTAGCGTGTTCATTTTTATTAACTCTTGTTGTATCGATTATGAGTTATGTTCGAAAAAGAGGTTAAGTTTAGGGAGGGTAGGGCTGTATTTTTCAACGAATTCTGACATCGGTTAAACGCATATTGTCTTTTTTTTTCTTTTTTTTATTAACGGCAAAAAGTTCTTCGGCATTTTTTTCGTACTTGTATACTTAAAGATTCTTTCTAAAAGGGGTGTTTGGGTTTACGTTTTATTTAACTACAATTTTAAAATATTTTTACTCTTAATTACTAATAGACTATATTTCTTTTTAAATCAAGTAAATGTAACAGAATTACTTAAATTGTTTAAAATTATTTTTCATATCAAATATAAGTATGTATATTACCAGCTCCCACTTTTAAAAAAAAAATATTTTTAAATATTATTTAAGGAAAATTTTTGACAATGACGGCAAATAATAGCTATTTCATTTCATTTCTTTGATTCAGTAATTTTTTTTTATATATAGTTTCTCATGTATGCACAAAGGACATGAGTCATTTAATGACCTACATATTCTAGCTTTTCTTATTAATTTCCATTTTGCTGTAGGTGTTTTATTGGATTCTTTTAAGTGCCAGAAATATTTTGAAAGGGATGTCTGATTTCTGTATTTATTTATCCTAAATGAAGTTTGATGTTGATTGAACCTCTTTTTGAACACATTGCTAGTGCAACCTATATAGATTTTTATGTTTTCGGGATTCTCAATTGATGAGATATTGCATTGGTATACTAATGATTCCGCGCGACATTTATTTTGTAGAGGACAGTTATGAGGATTTCTACAGTTACATAATTTTTGTTTATCTTCATCTCTTTTTATTTTTATTTTTATATTGTCTAAATTTCTTTGATTTTGGTCTAAGTGTTTATTGAAGATATTAGCATTATGAGTCTTAAAAATAGTTAATCCCTAAACTGGCGTTAAAACACTATGAAAGTGTAAAAATAGGTTCACAAACTATCCAGTGCGGTAAAAACTAGCTGGTTACATTTAATACGTTCCATCATCGCCGATATGATCCCGAATTACCACCAATCAAGATGAACGTAGGTCTTCTAGGGGAAGCAGTGTGCCGTGAAAGACTGTTATACCTGAAACTCACACCCGATATCAAGTGGAACTTGTACAGACGAGGCAATCTAAGGATGCATGTAAAACGGTCTGTTCCTTGTAGCGCTCCAGTAAGTAAATGACTCTTCCTGCCAGATCAAGAGCCAGATCAGTCCGGAAATGGGGTAGTGTTGTTATGTCTGGGCAGGAGCTGCCAAGAACCCACTCTCCTGCCTTGATAGAGTTTAAAGGCGTCTGCGATACATTTCTTGATTGAATGTTGACTTGTGATGAGAAATGGATCCTTTATGATAATCTTAAGTAATCAGCTCAATGGCTTGATCATGACGAATTAGCTAAACCCATTCCAAAATCGAAATTGCACAAGCAGAAGATTATGGTGATTGTTTGTTGGTCCGCTATTGTCACTATACATTACGGCTTTCTACAATCTAACAGAACATCACTGCCTAAGTTTACAGCCAGAAACTCGAAGAAATGCACATTCAGTTTAATGATTATATTTTTCTTAATTATAATTTTGATGATTAAGAGAAACATTGCCGCATAATAAGAGAATTTTTATCAATAATAATGATGATTATGATGATTATGATGATGGTATCGTGCCACGAAAACATCTTTTTAATTTAATCCCAAGATAGTTTTTGTCTCGATCAAAATTTCGAATTTTATCAAAGAACGGAACCTTTATTTACTTTTTTTTTGTCCCACATTTTTCTCTTTTTTATTTTACTGTAGAAAATAAGTTATTTTGTAAACGAGCATCCATAGGGGCGGAGACTCCAGCAGGTCAGTAGAAAAAAAAAAACACATGGTCTTTTACACAAGTGTAAAAGAACAAAAAATGCAGAGAAAGAAAAACATTATAACTTTATACAGTTGTCAAAGCCACACGACGACATACACAAACGGCAAATGGCGCAATTGGAAATTAGAAATAGAAAAAATTCTCTTACGATCTTTCATTGGTAAAAAAGAAAACTGGTATTTGTATATAAAAGTCGAATTTTTGGATCCATTCCTAACCACAGTGAATCATTTTCCGGATTATTTTCAATGAAATCCTATAGCAAAATCAACAGCAGTAGATCTATTTGCATGTTCTGTCGGCTGTCACCATCATGATGGCTTACGTTAAGACACCGGTTCCCGTACGATCTTTGAAGTTAAGCAACATCAGGCTTGGTTAGTACCTCGATGGGTGACAGCTTGGAAATACCAGGTGCTGTAAGCTCAGATGTGCAGCTGATATCATGGTTAATGGTTCGGAATTGCTAATTTGCGAGCCGAGGTCCAATTCCGTTGGGTTCGTTAACTTACGCGTAAATACCATTGTAAAAAGGTATGGATCCACCGCTTCTTTCTCTCAGTTATGGGTTAATGAGTAAGACTTGTAACACTAAAACCTTTATTATCTCCCTGTAAAATAAATAAAATTGCGTACAAAATATTTACATTTCGGCATTAAGAAGTTGATCAGAGTCTGTCTATATTTCTGAGATGAGGTATTATATACACTATTTACATTATTCCGACTATTGTCCTCATCTTTGTCGCCATATTTATCACAACGTTTCGGCCGTTGTACGCTCCGGCCTTCTTCAGGTGGTTGGAATTTCGAACTGAGCCCTTTATTTCGCTCACTGGGGTAGACTGTCCTCAAGGACACATGGCACAGTGGATAAAGGCGTTGGTTAGATCCAGTGACAGGCCACACGAGTGTGAGTTCAATACCCGGTTAAGGCAGTGGAGAACTTTCAGAGGGAAAATTAACAGGAGATAACTGATAACTGACATCCATCAAACATGACACGTGGAACTTGAACAGTCTACTCCAGTGAGCGAAATAAAGGGTTCAGTTCGACATTCCAACCACCTGTAGAAGGCTGGAGCGTACAACGGCCGAAACGTTGTGATAAATATGGCGACAAAGATGGGGACAATAGTCCGAATAATGTAAATAATGTAAGTTGATATGCCGCTAAACAAAAACAACCAATCGAAAATCATCATCAGCAGTAGCAGCGTCATCATCATCAACATCAGTCTCATGACCAGGTGTGGCCGGAAGGTAGCAGCTCAGTTGAGCACCGACCAGTAAGCCCCCACCCCCACCCCGCCTCTACATCTCAGTTGCGTGCTAATCTGAGTTTCTGTGATGGATCTTCTAGTGATGTCAGCCCATTTTTCCTCTGCTTCTTCGCCCGCTATTGAGTTGGTTCCTTATAGGATGTTTGTGGAAAGATTATTGGCTCTTGAGACATGACCATATTATTTCAACTTTCTCTCTTTGATATTGGTTATACGGTTTTACAACGGCCCTTTTTCTTCCCTGATGGTGTCTCGCACTGCGTCATTTGTGATGTGGTCAACGTAGGAAATGCCTAAGATGATTCTGTAGCATAATGCTTACATTAATTCCTGACCACTAACAAGCCTTTTCGCTATTATCTTTTATACAATTCTATAGTAAAATCCCTAATGATTTATTTACATTATACATATAACAGTCTGTTCTGTTCGTAATGCTTGTATTCATTTCTGACCACGTGCAATCCATTTTTCCTGATTTTCAATGCAGCTCCATAGTAAAACCATTAGCGATTCATTTACATTATTCATAAAACAGCCGGTTAGTTTTACCGATTTTTCACAAACTAACTAATGGGGTAAAAAACTGGCTGGTTACATTCAATGCCACGAAGACCAAGCTAGTTACGTTCCATCATCGCCGATCTGATCCCGAACTGCCATCAATCAAGATGAACGGAATCCCTCTTGGGGAAACACTTTGCCTTGAAAGACTGTTAGGCCTCAAACTCACACCCGACCTCAAGTGGAACTCGAACATACGATCCGTTACTAAGGATGCAGGTAAAATGGTCGGCTCCCTGTACCGCTCCAGTAAGTACTCGACCCCTCTTGTTATCCTCTACCTTTACAAGAGCCAGATCAGGCTTCAAATGGAGTACTGTTGTCATATCTAGGCAAAAGTTACCAATGTTGTATACCCGCGTCGTTCTGAGGAACTATTGGTTGATGGGGTCAATTCCATAATGTTGTATCTTCTCTCGCTCATCATCTCCTGGTCTGGTATGGAAATGTTTGAGTCCGGAGGTGAAAAGCACAAACAAAAGAGAACTTTTAACTTAACTATTATCTTGTCGACGGTACATCTTCTATCAACTGGCAATTACTAAATCCCCTATTATTATATGCTATTTTCCCAGGAAAATATGCTTTACAAGTTCTCACTCGTAACACTCTTTCCAGTATTGAAAGGGAGTTTCCTTCCTAACTTTTTCTTTGAAGCAGTGTGGAACGTCAACATCTTGATTATGTGATTATTTTCTCTTCGCGATACACATGATATCAATTTTAGTTATGGCTGCTTGTTGAATATCCACAAATGACGTGGCTTCTTTCATCTGGTTCAGTTCTTTGTTTTTGATTCAGTAGCACCCGTCTACAGGATCGAAGAATGGTGATCATCGCTAAGAGCTACAGACTTCATTCGCTCGAAGCCATTTTTAATAATCGGTCTAAGGAAGCAGTTCTATACAGCTGACAGTTTATATATTTCCGAGCGCATTTGGCACCATGTCTGTTATCTATACGAGCCTATTTAAGCCCACTTAAGGGTGGATTGAGTAACCTTATAGGAGAGAGTATTCACATATTATGGTGCTCACTGTTTGTCAGGTTACATCGAAGCCATGCACAAGTTTCTCAAGATATTCAAAATGGTTGGATACGTTGCGGACAGTCGTATTTCGAGTGTCAGTGACCGAGATTCAAACCAAGATAAAAAAAAAAAATAGAACGTTGATTTTCAAGGCAGCAGAATTTACCCACGTGGTAGACTCCTGGCTGATTTTCCGTTCTTTTTCTTTCTTCCCTTTTGCTTTGGATTGGTGCATAATTATCAGGCGTTTTTGAAGGCGAGTTATTTGTTAATAAAAATTGTTGTTTTGTTTATTTTTTTTTTAAATAAAAATATTTTATTTTCAGATTATAAAAATGCGTGTCGATAATCATGCACCAATCCAATACTAAGCTTAGATTCCTACGAAGAGTGCTGAAATGTTTTCAGCCCAACCAAGAATCTTTTTATCCTCAATAAAATTCTGATGTTTGGTCATTTGACCAAATTTTAGGAAGTGGATCGCGCCAAAACTTTTCAGCACCCCCCCCCCGCAGATATCATCACCCACGCTAGTGCGTACGAACTCACAATGAGAAGACAATAATATTGGTTTTCCTCGACGAAAACAAGATTATTTTTTCGTTCCATTTCTTTTTAATTTTCTTGCTAAGGCGGGGGATGGTGGTAGTTGTTGGAATTAAAGAGTTACTTCCTTTTCCGGTATGGATAATTGTTTCGACAATTCCTATTTTCGAAATGTTTAAATCCAAGTTGCTTACTGCGGAGAAAAAAAACAAAAAAACGCCGGCGGATATTTACTAAGGTAAAATTAGTAAGACTCAAGGCCGAATAGGGGATAAGAATTTACACTATACAATCTTTCTAAACTCCATTCTGTGAACCTCTATAGTTAGTAGACAATTTCACAGCATAATATGTTAAGGAGGACTTTTCGTGTGTTGGGGGTCAGTATGCATTTCCAAGCAGCAGCAGTTGCCGGTATTCGAGCCCAGGGAGAACACACGATTTCACATGTGGATTTTCAAGGCAAAACATATTTTGGTGAAATCTTCCAATTTTCGAGGTTTCGATTTGAGTTTTGAATATTAACTTGTTTGATTTATGTTTGTTTTAACCATGAAATATATATATATATATATATATATATATATATAGGTTAATTAACAAGAAGAAGATGGAATGCTAGGTTGTTAGCAAAAGAGACACACTAAGGTTTAGGTACGTCCAAATAACCCCACAAAAAATCTTTCTTGAAGCTTTTATTTTAGTTTTAATTTCAGGCTAATAGATTAAATTTGACACTGCAAATAAGCAAAATACTTTGGCGTATTTTAAAAACTACCGTATTTGGTGGCATATAAACCGCACTTCTTTTTTTACTAAAAATATCTTTTAAAAATTTCCTTGCGTCTTATACGCCATACGTAGGTTTACTAATTTTACTCATTACCAGTTTTTTCTTGATTTTTCCCTGCTAAAATTGGAGTACGTCTTATACACCGACAAATATGGTAATTTAAATTGACTTTTATTTATTTATTTATTTTTTTTTTTTTTATTTTGCTTAGCGGATTAGAGACGTTTCAGTCGTCTTTTATCGCAATGTAATTCTCTTTATTAAAAAATCATCTAAAAATAAAATGTATTTTTATGCATCTCTATTTTAGGAATATTAGCTGATTTAAAGTACAATTAATCTGGTTTGAAACAAATATTATTCATTTTCTATTTAAAATATCACTGAAATGCATTTTTTAACCCAGCAGTAGCTGTGATGACAGATCTAATGTTGATTTTTCTTTCTTTTCGTGTGTCATATCCTTTCAGGACGTAGGCGATCATGGCTCTCCACCTCCTTCTATCATCCCTTGCAGCTCTCAGCAAGTTCCTTTCTTCTGCCACCCCACCGAGACCACGTTCTGTTATCCACTTGCTTAATCCCGATAGGTATATCATGCGTTGGTTTCCCTTGTCTCTGCCTCTATTCGACCTGTGAGTATCAGATTTTCCAGGCCCTCCTTCCTCATTATGCGTCCCAGCAACTTCAGCTGCATCTTCCTGATGTTAAGTATAAACCCCCTCCTTGTTTGCAACCTCTCTAAGACATCATCGTTGTTCACACGCTCGGTCCATGATATCCTTAGCATCCTTCTGTAGAACCACATATTTGCCATTTCGAGTCTCTTCTTTATCGTTGAGGAAATCATCAAACATTCGCTGCCGTAAAGAAGGACAGATGTCACGTGACAGCTCAGTATTCTTTTTTTGCCACCAAAGAAATCCTCCTGTCTCACAATACTCTGCCCAACTTTTGGAATGCGTTCTTGGACATTCCAATACGTCTACAGATACGTCGCACTTATCGTCCATTGTCAAAATGCTTCCCAGATATTTAAACTTCCGCGTCTGCTTGATTCTAGTTTTCCCGACCTGCAAATCGCATTTCGGGCTCATCTTTTTGCAGATGACCATATATGTTTTTTTAACATAATTGAAGAAAATGGCGTAAGCCCCATTCTATATATATATATTTTTAAGTATTCAGTAATCTTAAAAATTTAAGAA